CTTGGACAGCGTGCTGTGACTATGTGTCCCAGTCCACCCAGCTGTGAATGGGTTTCTCGTAAGGATGAGAAAGCCACATTAACTTTAATGCGCCTAAATGGCTGCAAGAGTTGTATGGTCCTCAGGGAGTTGAGGTTGAAAAATATGATGTGCCGTTGAGATTGACATCCTATGATCGAGGGAAAAACAGCGGCGCATTGCTGAGCTAAGCTGGATATTGGCTATACAAATATCATAATAATAATAATAATAATAATAAATAAAATAAAAAAATGATGCAGTATGTGTGAATTTCTGTCTCAAGGACATTAGTTGTGCTTGCTCACTTGTATAGATTTTGCATTGCTGTCTTATTATTTCATCTCTGTATATCTTCAATTGCTGGTATGTATGTTCTGATGACTTCTGTTGGGGTAATAATCGCGACCAACTCAGACCACAAGACAACTGGCAGTTACCGTTGCCGTTCTAATAAAGATTTTACTGATCCATAATGTGCACCTGTGTTTGTTTTCTTTTTATGTAAGTAGCGATCACTGTTGGTATCAACAACGAGACGGTAATTTTACTCAAAATGTTAAACAAGAATGTTTCCATTAGCTGCAGTGAAATCGTGTGTCCCTCAGATATTTATAACCGCCCGCATTATTCACAGCAATCACTATCATATTCTGTCTACTCACACCTCGAAATAAAGTGTAACTGACAGAAAATGGATACGTATACATATGTCATAATTAATGGAGCTTGGCGATCACATGTGGAATGATACTGTCCAAAATATTCAGTGTATTATGAGACTGCCAACAGCATCAGTCAGGTACAACATTGTATTTGATAGACAGGATTAACCAGAAGCAAACTAATGTCAAGAAAGGCAAACAGTTTTTGCATCTCGCTCCATTTCCTTCACACAGAGTTTTGATCCAAAACTCATTTAAACAATGCAGAAGATTGATGTCAGTGAATGTTTCTTATTAAAATGAGGCAATGTAAAGAGCAAGTTAATGAAATATAGCAAAATTATTGAAACCATAAACCTTGAGATTCCCGACCTCATGACAGTAGAGTCAATAGAAGCTGACCTTCTTGATTGTGATATGGTGGCCATCTTGAATTAAAATGGCGGCCATATTTAATTCAAGATGGCCGACATCGGTAAATAATTAAAATATTTTACATTTTGTTGAAAGTAGGCTTGTTTATAAATGAAAATACTAACCAGTATGAAGATAAACCAAAAATTTGTTATGAACTATGTAGCCGTGACACGCGCATTCATGCTGAAATGTGGGTGAAAAGACAATAGACCTCACCCCTAACACCATGCACAAAAAATACATTTCCCCAACCTTGATTTTCTTTGGGTTTTTTATGGTGACCAATAACACCCTTCTGGTCAGGTTAAACACAAATTTGGCCTGTTATCAGAAATGTCTAGGTTCAGTGCAGTTTCTACTGGCCTATAGGTTTATAACAAGGAGCCCTTGTATTTCAAATTTAATAATGAAAATTGTACATCCTGTAACATATGTTATATTTGGGATTACACTTTCTCAAAGTACAGATTCTAGGATATTTTAGGGTTGACTCCCATCCAGGATTCAAACCCAAACTCTCAGAATAAGGAACTAATCGCCAGCACAAAAAGTCAGCGATTTGACCCACTCAGCCACACAGCTTCAACAATATGGAAGTCGGATAATTGGTAGCCTGGACCACATACTTTGTGTACCCTTCTGATAAGTGTAATCCTGTACAGCAACACTCCTGTCGTGACTGATCTGCCCACTTATTTACATAGATTATATGTCTGTGACCCCAATACTAAGTAAACTATGACACCCAGGCTGAAAACCGGCACTAGGTCATGGAGCATAATCTCTCCCTAACAACACATTATTGTCATTTTGGTAAAAAGTGTCATGAATATTATCCTATGAATTTTACTATTCGATATTTTTTTTCTTAATGTTCAGTAACAGTAGAAATACTTTAAAACCTCAATTTCACCATATATTTGCACTGGTTTTTGGAAAAAAATGTTCCCAATTGTAAACAACACTGTTTTTTAGGTGTGGGTATTGCAGAGAATTTTCATATTGCGATGTATTGCGTTGCGAAAGCATGTATTGCGATATGTATTGCAATATATTGCATGAAGTATTTTTAAACAAAACATTACTTATAATCGAGTTAATGCTTGATTTTTAGAGCAAAAACACAGCAAAATCACTATGCTTGATTAAGCTTGAATAACGACTTTTCATCATGATAAAATAGAAATGTGAATAACATTTCGCACAAATGAAACAAGGAAATATCTGAAGATTTCCGAGTGTTACGAAGTTTTCCGAATGCAAGTCAAAATACCGGTTTTCATGTCTGAACCAGTAAATACCGGTAAACCGGTTATATTGAGCAGCCCTACTGTTTTTAAATAATATTTGTATCAGCACATGGGAAAAGCATATTTAACACTTTTTATACCTGGGGAGGATTACTACCTGCACTAGGTGCAAACCAAGCGAATTAATCAGGTTGCACCATCAAAATATTGGTTGCACTTTGTTATTAACAATGTTATTGCTGTCACTGACAGCAGTCGATTCCTCATCTGCAGATTGAGAGGGGTTTCATGGACAACATCACAATCTTCAATGCTGTTCACAAAACTCAATGTCTGGAGGAATGTTTTGAGAAATCGTTGCTTTTAACTGACATTTTCACTCAAAAGTTTAATTTCTTTTCCGCTTGAATGCAGTCGGCAAATTCAACTTATCCACCATTACAAATAACGTAATATATGGCAGAGAGTATGCATTAACATATAAAGCACACTGAATAATTACAATGCATATTTCACATCACAACAATGAACAGACTCACCTCACCCAAATTATGACAAAACAAAAGTCACTACAGGGATCTATCCAGACCAGCCGAAGGCCAAAATCTGACCCAAGTCTGCAGTCAAGGTCAGTACAATTCCCAAACTGCAATTAAAATCTTTCCAAATTCATGACGATATACTTAGAACCAACATTCAGGGGCCAGTTCCACAACCTTGACACAGCCCTACTGTGATCGTATATCCAGTGCTTTAACATAGAGTTACGATAATTGTACCTTTACGATCTCTTCTTAGAATGCGACCCTGACCTTGGATAGATTTGTACTATGCTGTTAACAAGGCCATTGAGTATGACAATGGAACAAGCATTGAATGCAATGTTAAGAGTACACTGGTAAAATACCTTTTGAAAATCCCAAGGTTCTGAAAAATGATGTTTCTTTCCAAACTTGGCTGCCAAGAGTGCTTAAAACCCTGGGTAAATCCCTGCAATGTTTATACTGTAATACATGATCAATGAGTTCAGTCCGTAAGTAAACGACCAATCGCTGAACAGTTGCCTGCGGAGACGTGACCATAGAAGGGCTGCCTCTTCACACTGAGAGGTAAAATATCAAAGCAAAAGATACATTGGGCATGCTATGTACTATTCATCTAAATTACTCCCGAGTCCAATTAATCATTTTTTATAAATACACATGAACTACAGAATTAAGTAAACTGTTTCCTTCACTGAATGTTGATTTGATCACCAGCATAGACATTTTCATCCTACTGGACATTAAGAAAGACGCAAGATGTCTAAGCAACACCATACACTTACTTGCCATTGAGTTTCTTTGTTCTTAGGGGTTGAATGCCACACTGAACAATATTCCAACAGTAAAATGACCCCCTCCAGTAAGTAATCTAGTCTGGACCAGACAGTCCAGTGATTGTTTTCGTGAGCAATGATCAACCCTGTCTTGCTACAATGATAAACAATCAACCAACTCATCCAGTTTGTCCAACCGATCCACTTTTTCACCAACTATGACCAGCATAGCTTGCTTAGGATCTTATCTAACCCATAAACACCCTGGGGTCTCGTAACTGGGACCATCACCCTTATGATTCCTTCCTTTTTGTTAATTTTGTATAACACTGGACGCAATATTCTAGCCATATGACATCAGTCTGTAAAATAATAATGTCTGGACAAGACAATCCAGTGATTGACATCATGAACATCAATCTGCACAATTGGTATACACTGATATGCATCAACCAAGTTAGAGAGCATGACCACCGCGCCCCGATTTCTCGAAACAAGCTTAAGTTTTTACTCAAATTTCAAACTGAGTTTGACAATTTGAAACAGCTGATAATTTTTAACTTAACTGCATTTTTAAAATAAAAAAGCCCAAACAACTTAAGTAATCCATCCACCAAACTCAAATTGTCTAGTATGTTTGAGTTTAATATCAATTTCAGTTCATTCTGCTAATGCATTTTCTCTATTTGAGTAAAAACTCGAACTTAAGTCAAATCTCAGACTTAAGTTTGTTTCGAGAAATCGGGGCCGGATCCCATAAGTTGCCTCTTACGACAAGCATAGGATGCTGAAGATCAGTTCAAACTTGGATCTTCACGGGTCCAAAAGACGTTTTCACAACAGTGAACAGTAAATACTTCCTGGTTTGGCATCCCAAAATATACCATCAGTAAACAATCAAGTATATCAAATATATATGATTTGCAGGTGAGATGTTATGCATTATTAAAAACAATTATTTTTGGACACCACTCTAAGTAGTGTTCCAGCTATATGATGAATACTTAAGCATGAACCGCATATTCCACTGACTTCAAGAACTCGGGTCTCCTTAACTAAAATACCACATCCATCAACCAATAGAGGTGTGACAAAACGGAAATGTCACGATACCAAACGTATCGCGATATCTTGGAACGATATGATTCGATTCGATGCATATCACGATATGCTATCTTTAGTTATTTTCTTGAAAAAAGAATATTTTGATAGCAAGTAACTGTAAATATTTACATAACCGTCAATTTTTAGTGAACATTAACAATTTTAAGGTCAACGATACATATCACGATACGAACAAAAGTATAGATATATTTATCGTCAGATAAAGTATCACGATTATCGATACTACGATATATCGTCACATGGCCTTTTTTTCTAGAAAAATGACAATGTAATCTTAAAGGTCCTCAAAGTTCAAAAGTCATGCCAAAAATTGGTGATGAGCATCCAATTAATGTTTGCCTGTCACATGCTAACAGTTTGTTGTTTGAAGCCGCACTCAGCAATATTCCAGCTATATTCCGGAGGTCTGTAAATAATCGAGTCAGGACCAGACAATCCAGTGATCAACATCATGAGCATCGTCCTTGGATACGATGACATGTGTCAACCAAGTCAGCGAGTCTGTTTGTCTAATCTTATGCTCAAGCTAATATCACATCAACATCATGATGACTTAGGCTTGATCTGCTTGTAGGCTTTGTTCCTCTGTGTTTTAAACTTGAGCAGCTTGTTGTACTTCTTGAGGAGCTTCTCCCAGTAGCAAGACACGTCCTCCATCCGCAGGTGATCCCAGATGAACTTCCTCCCCCTGAAACACAACATCACTCTGTGTATGCCAGTGTTTATAATTCAGATTATCTCCAGCTAGACAGCGGGACAGGCATGTCTTGTAAGTTGTGGACTTTTTGACAGGCAAGATGTATAAAATGCTAGTCCATGACTAGCAGTCTTATCAGTTCCAGACAGATTGACTAGCAGTTCTTATAAACTGTAAGATACAGGTCAGTCTCAGGTCTGCTGGTCTTGATAATAGACAGACATGTGAATTCCTTATCATGTAGTCTCACTAACAGATATACACAGAGAAATCACAGTTGTTCATAGTAGAGACACACAGGGTAATTACTGTTCTCAATGACAGATATACACAGGTCAGTCCCTTGCCTCAATAATGGGCACACTCAGGTCAATAACTGTACATGTTCCCAATAACAGACACAGGTCAAAGTCCTCACCTCTCAGCAATGCGTTTCACAACATCATCATTCTCTTTTGCAAACATAATCAGCTCTCTGGAATAATAAACATACATATATATATATTCACTAAATGTAAATATCAATTGTTTGGGTGATGAAAATATTTGTGCAAAATTCGATCATACATTATTCAGGTTTGGGTGGGTGGGGTAGTGTATGGGTGGGTTGTTAGAGGGTGAATGGGTGGGGAAGTGTATGCGTGGGGAAGTGTATGGGTGGGTTGTTAGAGGGTGGATGGGTGGGGTAGTGTATGGGTGGGGTAGTGTATGGGTGGGTTGGTTAGAGGGTGAATGAGTGGGGAAGTGGATGGGTGGGGAAGTGTATTGGTGGGGTAGTGTATGGGTGTGTTGGTTAGAGGGTGGATGGGTGGGGTAGTGTATGGGTGGGTTGTTAGAGGATGGATGGGTGGGGAAGTGGATGGGTGGGGAAGTGAATATTTTAAAGTGGTGTTGATCAATGCAACTGGGATATGACACACACACACACACACACACACACACACACACACACACACACACACACACACACTGGCACACACATACAGACAGAGACACATACAGAGAGAGAGAGAGAGAGAGAGAGAGAGAGAGAGAGAGAGAGAGAGAGAGAGAGAGAGAGAGAGAGAGAGAGACACACACACAGAGAGACACACACACACACACACACAGAGACAGTCAGACACACAGAAACACACACACAGACAGACACACATACACAAAGTTTATAATCGCTGTACAAATAATTCAGCATCAACAATAAGGTGAGTGAGTGGGTGAGTTTTGTGCCTCTTTAAACAATATTCCAGCAATATCATGGCAGGGGACACAAGATATGGGAATCATACATAGTACCCATGTGGTAATTCAAACCCATGACTAATGAGTGACGAAGGAACACTTAACCACTAGGCTACCTCATCACCCATCAACATCTACTTCTACTTCAACAATGAGGTAAGTTAGTTGTTGCAGCAAGAGAGGAAGTAACATACTTGACATTGTCTAGTGTCTGGCTGACAGGGATGTAGTGGACCCACGGCTTCATGGCAGAGTAGAAGAATTCTTGCCAGGCTTCTCCCACATGGAACACCAGTGAATTACACAGGAACAGGTGCTTGAAACGGAAACTGGCAGCAACACCGCGGAAATTGAAGAGATATCTGGAAAGAAATGTAGGAGCTATCAGCATGGTTATTCCTCAAGTACTAGAATAGTAGGATTAGTGATTGAGTTTAGTTTTATGCCACACTCAGCAATATTCCAGCTATATGGTGGCGGTCTGTAAATAATTGAGTCTGGACCAGACGATCCAGCATGAGCAACAGCATGAACATTGATATATGCAACTGGGATACAATGACATTTGTCAGCCAAGAATAGTAGGATTAATATCTACAATAGTAGGACGACAATCATAGAGTTGTCAAATCAATATCCAACACTAATTTCAGTCAAACTTTCTGTATTGTGTGAGTAAACTAAAACTTGATGACACTATTTTCATGTCGATAATTTTTCCACTTATTGATCTGTTTAGCCAGCCCTAATACAACAAGCTACTTACTTGTATTTGCAGTGGTCCTCCAGTTTTATCTCAGCAGCAGGTGGCCGGTGTAGTGTATCCTAAACACAACATGTAACTTCTATTAAGGCTCTTTAGGAACACATGCATTCAACCTTTTATTCAACTTTCTGAACATTTTATTTTTTTTGTAGTTTAAATTTTATTTCTGAATCCCTGTTACAGTCAAAACTAAGCAGCCATGGGACAGCTCAGTCTAAAGATATACAGTAATTTAATGGGATACAGGTGGAAAGTTTTACGAAACAAGACAATCCATTCACTCACCATTCACACAAGTACAAAACTATTTTTGATTATCAAACATATTAATAATATAATTAATTCGGTTGTCTTTGAATAAGCCATGATATAAGAGCCATTTCAAATAAATTCGGAGTTACAGCTTTTCTGAACATTTTAGTGGTGAAATTGGCAAAATATCGAAATCATGCATACAAATAAAGTATGTACATGATATTTCTAGAAATTATGTTTTCACAACATTTTTGTCCTTAAATTCTGTAATTTGGCTAACTGGAAATGTCAAAGAAAGAGATCCCCCTTACTACTATGCAGGCAGGATCTGCACACATTCATATTTAAAAGTCTTAGAAATTGCTTTGAACAATACCACGTGTTTATTTGAATGACAGTCTTTGCCAATTTCAACACTTTAAGCATTTTCAGTGCTCTTGACACAAGTTATGATTATATTACTGGTTACTTTCATTAAGCATACACAGACACTTTACACTGACTTCAAAATGGTGTGTACTTGTTTCATCTCTTCTGTAAACACAAGGCAAGGCAATAACAAGTAGCATTTTTTTGTCTTTTTGTTATGAGACTGCCAGATGAACAAACCACTACTGCTCTATTGTTCTACAAGTAGTTGGTCCTGATTCTAAAGTCACCAAGTCACCTAGTCACCAATAAGTCACCTGTGTGACCAAACTGGCTGCTACATGTCTTACCGCATCTGACTTCCAGGCCTGGTTCTTTGTGTATTCTGCGTCGACCAGGTCTGGTTCTTTCCTTGACAGTAGCACCAGAGGGTCCCGCTCGTTGCTTGTCCTTGAACCACGGAAAAACGCAACATTGTGCTTCGTGTCCCAGGGCCATTTATCTGCCTCTCTGAAATAGAGTGATTACAATCTCATCTACACAATGGTAGGACATATTTCTTTGGGTTAAATAATAGTATTCTGTATTATATTTTACTGATGACTACGCCAGAATTCATCCCTTATATTATTGTGCATGTTTGAACTTGATCGCCGTGAAATGTGTGCACAGCTGATTGTACGATAAATGTCATAATGACTAATACGTAATATGTTGAAATAATGAAAACTTACAGGTAATATGTATTTTATTCATCATTCACAACATAAACGCTGTAATCGTGGCAAACATCCTGGCAGATGTACCGGTAACCTGTAACATCGTCCTGGCAGGGCATTGGCGAGCTAAAACATATTTCCGTGACATTGTATCTCATAGATAAGACGACCCCCTTCTACAGACATATTTTTTTGGTCTTCAAAATTCGGCTTATAGACGGTAATAAACGGTAACTGGACTTGATGATAATGATAACGTTTTGCTCCAGGAAATATAATTATAATGTACGGGTAGGTCAAAGGACCAGTTACATTCTCAGCTCCCTGGGAAGAATCATTTTAAGAAGTTTCATCTCATCCCATCGGGTACCCATTCACTTCTCGGTGAACAACATATTTTGAACAAAATCATGTGCCTAAATAGATATACATTCGAGCACCGTTGTCTCAATATTCACGGGGCCAAGAAAAAATATCGAGTTATCTGAACTTCAAGACATCCGACCAGGGCATATAATCACATATCACTATAAAAGAAAACAAAACAAAAAGTAGATTTCATGTATTTCCGCAATTTAAAAACAACTCAACAATCACATGCTAGTCACGTGATTACACAAAACCCTCATTGGATTCTCACTATGTTTTGATTCGAAACTATCATCCGTTATCAGTAGTGTTTAGTCGTAACAGTGAGTACTTCCTAATTAATTCCTTCTTAATTAATCCTAATTACATAACAAACAAGTGACACCTTCAACTCAATTAGCCCTAATTAGTTTACACTACCGCATCCCTTTGATTCATGCCGCACCGTGTGTAAACGTGTGGAAACAACCTCAGTTCAGAGGGATACTTGCAAATGAAAGGTAGGCGAATATCGCGTTTCTTTGAAAATATTGAGTTTAAAGGGTAATTTTGTTTGATGGGACCATGAAATCATATCGAGATATCCAAAATATCGAGACATCCGTATCGAGTTAAAAGAGCTTGAATAATGATAAATTATGAAGGATTTTGCCGGGACCAAGATGTTATATCGAGACAACTGAGATATTGAGTTCGACACAACGGTGCTCGACTGTATATTTACTATACAAATTTGAAATGGTCTGAAATACATTTGTTCATTTTAATTCAGTAAACAGGGGTAATTTTGCACAGCATGGTATTCTCCAGCATGCACAAATGAAGACCCAGAACGAAATGTAAACTGAATCCCTGGGGTCGTCCAGTGCATCATGATCATTGTACACAATTCTTGACAAGAAACATAAAGTTCTTGTTATTAAAGTTAAATCTTAAAATACAATATCTACACTAAATCATTTCATTGTTCTACAGAATCTTATGGACCTCTAGTTTATAGGTTAAGGTAAAAGCCTGATTATAAGAGCATTTACTGTCAGTGATTCTCCCAGATTGACCTGTGAAGATCCGGATCAGAATTGATCTTCAGTAACCCATGCTTGTAGTAAGAGGTGACTAATGAGATCAGCTGCTGAGTTGCTTGACACGTGTCATCGTATCAAACTGTGTAAATCAATGCTCATGCTGTTGATCACTGGATTGTCTGGTCCTGACTTGATTATTTACAGACCACCGCCCTATAGCTGGAGTGTTGCTGAGTGTGGTTTGAAACAAGGAACCAAAACCCTGAGAGCATTTTACATTTTACTCCAAACTGGCTGTTTTGGAAGAGGACCATAACACTGTGATGTTGTATAAACTCGTTGTCAGATATATTATATTAACATCATCCAGAGTTGTCACAAGTGATATTAGTGATGTTGTTCCAAGAACAAGTTCTGAACAATTGCCTCCACTTCAAAACATAAAACTCACACTTTTTTTTGTTTCTCAACCAAAAAAACTATTGGTAACATACTACTCAAAAGATGTTTGGGATTGAACCATCTACCATCTATGGGCAGATGTTACACACACTACACTACGGTAACTCTCCCATTCAGTAAATGTTTGCTGATGCCTACCTTGGAATTACCTCCCTTTGTTGATCCCAGCGCCCCAGTCCGGTGGGGTATATCGGCCAGACAGCTGGACCTCCCTCCCAGAATGTCCATGCAGGATACATGATGTCCCAGTTCTCGGAACGCTGCGGAATTACGTGAAGATCGATGTTAAAGGGGAGGCTACTCAGGCTGAAGGGGAAGTAACAGCCTAGCAACTTTATATTGATACAATCTGTTTGTGGAACTTGGTGAGGAATGTTGTAAATATCTAGTGGTACATATCATTTCAGTGCACACACGAACAACACTTCTTCATTCAAACTGAAGGCGGTGGGGCAGCCTAGTGGTTTAAGTGTTCACTCGTCACATCAAACCAAGGTTCGACTCCCCACATGGGTACAATGAGTGAAGCCCATTTCTGGTGTCCCTTGCCATGATATTGCTGGATCATGCTAAAAGGGACATAAAACTAAGCTCGCTCACTCACTCACTCATCCAGGCTGAGATAGTGAGTGATATAAAATAATTTGAGTAAAAACTCAAGTCTAGGATTCCTCATTATCAACACACAAAGAAGGTTTGAATCCTGGATTCTCCCCGACAGTGATCCTTGCATGTCAGTACCATACCCATGCTGAAGGGTTGTGAGAAGATATGTATCTCTTCAAGCCTTCGTCCCCCATAAGCATAAGATACTCACTCATTTACTCAACACTTCACAGCATGTATTTTGACTTTACTTGCTTTCTTGATTTTTGAAAATTTATCACGGTGTCGGGTTTTCGACAATGTAAGACAAAAACATATTTTTTATCTTAATATCATTTACAGAATTTATTTTACTAACCTTGAGTGCTCAAGGATATATTCATCTATTTCACACAAAAATATCAAGTATTTCCTACAAAAATAGCGTTCATAACATTGTATCGGTAAAACTGTTGCTGCTCTCCACCTTCGGGTATTTTGGATGGGTTTTCGACGAAGAGACATACATTTTGCTCCGCAATACGAGGGAGTGTTGTGATCACGTGGCTTCCTATTTATATATTGCCTGTCACTAGCAGACGACCGATCTTACTGAAATTTCGCTTGCTATTTTTTGTTATATAGGCAATTGATTTTGCATCTGAAGTGGTATTAACGATCTTGGGTATATAATATTGATGTTTGTTTGCTTTTTATACAACTTTACTTCCCGATTTCCATTGTCAATAAAACTTCTCATGACAGCGAATGGGCACCTGCCCTACCGATGATACTTCTTGTGAACTCCAATTGTGAACGTACTCCCCCGATATAGCGCGAGCAATGCAATTGTTGAAATCACCAGAACATCGAATTCAGCTCGCTTTGGGATATATGAAAACCGTTCCACAAAGTGCAGGGGTGGAAATAACCCATTGCCCGACGTCCGAGTACAGTGTTTTTTTCTGTCGGGCAAGCACATTTGTATATCACACTGTACTGGTGTCCGGTTGACATTCCAATGTTAATTATGTTGCTTATATAAAAAAAATCACGAAAACAATAGGCCGGTATAGCGGAAAAATTATCAGGGCAAGTGATTTTACATGTGCCACTATACCGGAGTACACTACCAATTTTAAAGTTATTTCCACCCCTGAAGTGATTGAAGCACTAAGGTGAAACAGGGAATGGTCAGCCTAGTGGTTTGTCATGCCAAGGAACTTTGTCTGATTCCATACATGGGTACAATGTGTGAAACCCATCTTTGGTGGCACCACCGTAATATTGCTGGAATACCAATAAGAGTTGTGTCAGTCCACTCACTCTGAGGTTTGGGGAAGAATTGTGCTGACTCACCACTTTGCTGAAGGAGAAGATGGGTTTGGGGGGAGCTGTAAGCAGGTGACTGCGGCCAGTCCCGGGTGTTGAGGATGAGCTCCATGTCCGGCAGCTTCTTGATTATCCCCAGGATGAAGTGCTCCACACCACTGCATCTGTGTGGAAACAATACAGGTAACATATAATACAGGTAACACATATAGCATAGGTAACACATGTTCTGTCTTGCCCCAGCGACAAGATCTCACCTGAGTGAGTTTAGTTTTACACCGCTTTTAGCAATAATTATATTCCAGCAATATCATGGTGGGGTAAACCAGAACTGGGCTTCACACATTGTACCCATGAAGAGAATCAAATCTGGGTCCTTGTCGTAACAAGGGTGACGCTTTAACCTCTAGGCTATCCCTCTGCCCTGTCTCACCAGAACAGTTCTGACTCACCCGAGCTAAAAGATCTCTGTCTAAATAGCACTGCAACTGTCCTGACTCACCCGAGCTACAAGATCTGTCTCCCCCGAGGTACAAAAATTCTGTCTCACCAGAATAGTGCTGACTCACCAAAACTAAAAGATCTGTCTCACCAGAACAGTTCTGACTCACCCAAGCTAAAAGATCTGTCTAAACAGCACTGCAACGATCGTGACTCACCCGAGCTAAAAGATCTGTCTCACCCGAGCTAAAAGATCTCTCACCAGAACTGTTCTGATCTGTCTCACCCGAGCTACAAGATCTGTCTCACCAGAACTGTTGTGACTCACCCAGAGCTAGCAAGATCTGTCTCACCCGAAGCTACAAGATGTCTACCAGAACCTGAGCTACATGATCTACAAGATGTCTCACCAGAACTGTTCTGACTCACCCGAGCTAAAAGATCTGTCTCACCAGAACTGTTCTGACTCACCCGAGCTACAAGATCTGTCTCACCCGAGCTACAAGATCTGACTCACCCGAGCTACAAGATCTGTCTCACCAGAACTGTTCTGACTCACCCGAGCTACAAGATCTGTCTCACCAGAACAACAACTATCCTGACTCACCGGAATGGGAACATGCAAGCGTCCTCCCTGTACAGCTTGTGGTTGACAATCTGGTAATGGACGCCCCTCTCCATCGACTCTTCCAACTGTTTCCTTGTGATGCCATCTTTCCACGGCAACAGGTCCTCCTCCATTACACTGAATTCATCATAAATGCAGCACTAGAAATTGATGTATATATTCACAAGTCCACAAAAAATATCTGCTTCTGAGTTGCCCTCTATGAAATTCTACAAGTGGCGGTCCACAAAAAAGTATCACTTGCCCATTCTGAATCTTCTTCATCAGGGACTGGCAGACATTCAATTACAAAGTACTTGCCTTGGTATCACAGAGCATCATGAATCATTCCATTACTGTCTATTGGTGTGTCTGTACCAGAACTAAACACAGACTTACAGCATCCCAGAGTGTGTATACTGTTATACTCTGTGGTCTATTATACTCAGCTGCATCAAGGCAACTTCAGCTGAATCTGAGAATTTGAACAGGGCAAACCCATGCCATCAAGGTCACCCTAACCCCTCTACACAAAAAATATAAATGAATATATTAATACAACACTATTTGATAATATCAATGCAAAGCCAAGGGTCTAACTCAATAAAAATCCTAGGAACAAAATACTTAAAAAATTAGCATGATTTCACATGTATATCAACATACTGTTGTGAGATTACTTAAGAGAAATATGTTCTTTTAAATTCTTTTTCCACACACCTTTTGGATAAAAGAATAAACCTTTAAACCAAACATTAAAACACAGAGGCCACTGTCAGTTGTCAATTCTTATCCATCAGCATTTGAGAATTTGAAAAACTCAAATTTACACTGAGCTGTCATTTATCGAGAAAAGAGAGAGCACTGCATTCTCAAGGGTTCTAACAATATTACGATTTGAAGTGTTAAAGTTAGATGAACAAAGCCTGTGTGAGGAATCATGTGGGTAAACAGCCCCGCAGTGACTCTCAACCTCTTTGACAAACACTGGATGACCCCTTTCTTCACAGAGCAGGACAGGAACTATCTGAGGAGTGAGATGTCACATACACTTACATTTTCTCAAAAACCTAACCATTACCGAATCAATGCCGACTATGTGGGTCAGAGTAGCTGTATTTAACATGGACTGTAGGTGGCAATTGATGTTTGGGTCATCATGGCCGTGTCAACATCAAACAAAGGCTGGCTAAATACTTGGACGTCCTGCTGGACCAGGGTCAACTGGCTGGGTCACGTCCAGCAGCTCCCGATCTGACCAACATCCCTGCTGCATATCTACATAACACTCTGGGATCCAAACCTAATATGAGACATTGCCAAATCCTACCTAAAGAGGGCTTTTAGTTTGAATCAGAAAATGATTGATGAATGGAGGTAGGGAATCAACCTGGGACAGATGTGTCTGCCATATATCTATGTTATGTCATGGGACAAGGTTCTATCTTATCCGTGTGAGAACTATCTTTACCTGTCTCACCTGTCTGAGAACATCTGTATCCTACCTGTGTAAGTATACCTCTACCTACCCCATAGTATGGCAGAGATACAGATAACGTTTTGGATCATTGAATGATTGAGTTATGTACTCGCTTGTGTTCATCTCAATTGGGTATCCTAATTTTCCTTTGAGTAACCAAATAAATTGTACCCTCCTTACTCAAACTCAATTGGTTATTTTGCCATTTTCTATTAATTATAAAAATATAATAAAGTTTAAATGTGGGTTTACGTGTTTGTTATTTATCAATCAATCTTTATTTCGTACTGAAGAGGCCACAGGCCTATAGTACATATACATATATAATGGGGAATTACATAAATAAATATATTTACATTACAGTGATAAAATTTTGTTTGTTCTATACAACATTGTAGAATTTTATGATGGTTGGATGGATATAGTAATATCTTTTAATGCATTTACAAGTATTATTATATGGACAGATGAGGAAAAGTGATATTCATCTTCAATTTCATTTAAATTACAAAGTGTACATATTCTATCTTCTGTTGTAACATTTTAATACCTGCCGCTTTCAACCAACAAATCATTGAGATGAACATCGGAATCTTGCTAGTGATAAGCCTAAATTTCTTTATATTAACACATGATAAGTATACTTCATTGAATAGATCTTTTTTAAATTTTGAATAGTAAAAAAACATTTACTTGACAGAGATATTTTCTCACACCATGTTTGAAGATATATGTCTTTAAGTCTTATGGTTAATGACTGAATGAATGACGTATGTGATTCTAGATATTGTGCATTCAAAGCGGTTCTGAAGCCAATAGAGAATAAGAAGTTCTTAGATGTCCAATTTCTTTGTACATTTTCATCATACAATAACATCATATTATTATAACATTTTTTGATGCAACAATTTTGTAAATGGTAACCCGATATGGAGGCATATTTAATAGTTTTAACCAATATTTGACAACATTTATGCTTGTAAACACGTGCATTGGATATCTGCCACATTCACGTGAAGAAAGCACTGCATTAACTGTATTCAATTTAACACCAAGATATTTCAATTGTGTTCCCTAACCTTAACCCATCTAACCAAGATCACCCCTGGCAGATTACCCAATCCCCTTGAGACTACCCCAGCTATGGTCTCCTAACTTGTACCCATCTAATACCCCTGAAGATTCGGGTTAGAATTGGTCTTCGGGAGCCCATGCTTGTCATAAGGGGTCATTAACAAGTTTGGTGGTTAGGCTCACTGACTTGGTTGACACATGTCATTGTATCCCAACTATGTACATCAATGCTCATGATGTTGATCACCAGATTGTCTGGTTCAGACTTGATTATTTACAGACTGACGCCATATAGCTGGAATATTGCTGAGTGGGCGTTAACCAACAAGCAAAACAAAACCTATCTAAACCACTCCCTCACATTCTCCACTCACCTGGAATGACAGGAGCAATCACCTTGCTGACATTCTTCATAATTCCCAACTGCCTCATCAATCTCGTCCAGATATTTCTTCCACTTTGAGTTGGCAGCTTTGAAACAAAAATAAGACTTCATCAAATGATGAAACTAGATAGAAATTCCAACCTTCCCATCGTCCTCCCGATGAGCCTGTCTGACAATGCTGTGATATTTACATCAACCACACCTGATCAATTACCGAGTTCCCACTGCTATTTGCAGACAGTGTCGACACAGGCGCCAGGTGACTCACCTTTATATCCACCTGAAATTCTTATTGCATGGCTGTAGTTTAAATGGAAATTATTAATACTGGAATATTTCTTACTACTTGACAGAGTGAGTGAGTGCGTGATTATAGTTTTATGCAGCTCTTAGCAATATTCCACTGATATCACGGCAGGGGACACCAGAAATGGGCTTCACAGTAATCCCACTTATACCCATGTGGGGAATCGAACCCGGGTCTACGCATGATGAGCAAACGTTTTAACCACTAGGCTACCCCACCGTCCAACTACTGACTGACTGACTGAGTTTGGTTTTACGCCGCTTTTAGCAATATTCCAGCAACATCACGGCGGGGGACACCAGAAATGGGCTTCACACATTGTACCCATGTGGGGATTCGAACCCGGGTCTTTGGCATGACGAGCCAATGCTTTAACCACTAGGCTACCCCACCACCCCTCCAACTACTTGACAGAAGTCCAAGTTAGTCGGATTCTTTCAGGTTAACAATGATAAAAGAATCAGGTGTTTTTAATCTTCTTTTGAGTTTTATAGTTTTCTTTGTTTTAATACTCTTGTCTTAATATATACCAAATAAAAACATTTTGAAATATGTTAAACAGTCACACAAAGTACACATTTACACCCCCCAAAAAATCACGTTTGATTTGATTGTTTCTTAAAAAGCAACAAACAAATACCCTGATCCCACAACCAGCATACTAAAATCCCCTCGACTGAAGAGCAGTCATGACAGTTATGTACAAATACCAGTTTCTTTTGTTTTCAGTGCATTAATCTACATGGAAAAGAAGTGAGTAGCCATTAATTTCATTACATACAAGATATAGAAGACAGACATTGTGTTGTGGGGAGATAAATCAAACACAAGCACCAAGTGTCATTTCTTTACATTACCAAGTGCTACGATGGATTCACTTGCTGCTTAATTATTTCTAAATGTGTATCATAACGAATAAAAAAATAAAGAAATATGTTTATACCAAAACTATATTAGTCGTCCCTTTGAGTTTGTTATAACCGTTGTTTACAGTTTGTAAATGCAATAATCTGGAACCCAAACTTTAACCCAATTTTACAACTGCTGACTGGCTGAGTATGGGTTTACACCGTTTTTAGCAATATTCAAGCAATATCATGGCGGGGGACACCAGAAATGGGCTTCACAAATTGTACCCATGTGGGGAATCGAACCTGGGCCTTCTGCGTGATGAGCGAACGCGTTAACAACTAGGCTACCCCACCGCCACTCACAACTACTACTACTACTACTACCACTACTACTACCCCTACTACCACTACTACTACCACTACTACTACCATTACTACTACCACTACTACTACCACTACTACTACTACTACTACTACTACTACCACTACTACCACCACTACCACTACTACTACCACTACTACTACCACTACTACTACCACTACTACTACCACTACTACTACCACTACTACTACTACCACTACTACTACCACCACCACCACTACTACTACCACTACCACTACTACTACTACTACCACTACCACTACTACCACTACCACTACCACTACTACTACCACTACTACTACCACTACTACTACTACCACTACTTCTACTACTACCACTACTACTACCACTACCACCACTACTACTACCACTACTACTACCACTACTACTACCACTACTACTACTACTACCATTACTACTACCACTACTACCACTACTACTACCACTACTACTACCACTACTACTATTCATATTTCTCCAGACCCTGCTACATCCATGAACCATGCTCACATTTAGATATTCCTATCCAGACACTTGAAAAATACCTGAGGCCACTAGATCCCCACATTGTAGACTTTGTGTAACAAACCACATAGCAGCCTTTGTCTACAGAGGTAAAACGTTTACTTTGTGACTTCTGTCAACACAGAGGGCCTTGTCCTGGTGACAGAGCAGGTAGTACTTGTGTAGTGTAGTGGGCACACAATCATCTCGCATCAGGGAAATCAACGAGAGATGCTCCAACATGTTCAAGACATTTTGGATATCAACTTTTTCATTTGTTAAACATGTTTCGGATTTAATTCTTATTTCTTCTTCAGGTGAATAATACAGAGTTGATCATTAACCTGGAGAGGGAGAAAGAATTAACTCTGAAACGCTGTGTCTAACAAATATAGAAGTTGATATCCAAAAGGTTATGCTAATCACTCATGCTAAAGACTCTAGTGCTAATCACTACTAAATGCCTTTCAAAGAACCCACATTCAACACATCAGTAAATGCTTCTGTTCTTTGCCATTACTCAAACTAACCTTAATAAGTCATTAAATTTTATTCGTTGACGACACACCATTTTGGGTTTCATTGTGAAAAATAAACTAGTGAGTGTAGTTTTACGCTGCTTTTAGCAATATTCCAACAATATCAGGGCAGGTGACACCAGAAAAGGGCTTCACACGTTGTCCCCATGTGGGGAATTGAACCAGTAGGCTACCCCCACCTCCCAAATTCTAAACTATGTTCTCTTGGCATGGAAACTAGCAAGCATTACAAATTTGATAAAAACAGGTACTTTCTAAAGTCATTTTCTTAATTTCAGTAAACTATGGTAATAACAAACAAAGATGCCACTAATTTTAATTTGTAAATAACTGTAGTTCATTTCGACTAAAATATATACCGGTACTCCAAGAGGCAGGGATAAAAACCCAGTTTGTTATTAACAAAGTTTACTGTACATTAACATGAACTGAATGTTTGGGAATGTTTATTGTCATTTGCAGCAGAAGTGGGATCAGATATCAGCCTCTATGTTCGTTTAAATAAATCATTATATATATGTTGCATTATTAGACAAAATCTATATATTAAACTGACACTTTATTGTCTGTTGATTTATAAATCATTCCTTGGTATATTTACTGATTTAAATGAGGAAATTTCGACAGATTAGATTACTAATGTGTGCATTTATCTGGTTTTGTTATCAATGAACCTTTGACGTGCATCAGTGAAATACAAACCAAATCTAAAATATTCTTGGAATTCTTGCTTATGTTTATTCGTGAACAGCTGAATAGATCTATGCCCAGAATAATAAATTGAGTCTCTAAAATCACGATAAACTTGGTTGACTGCATAAACGTATAGATTCACGAGAATGATACACTTGGTGCTATCATGGGGTTCTGCATTATCTGCCAATGAAATTATACCACGTCCACAGAGCACCAGAACAAATGGTGTTGTAAGAGCTGAAGTGTGACGAAGTCTTGACAAGGGGTGATCGATACTGCTAAAAAACTCACGTTTAGTGTACTTGGACTTTTCTTTCACTTCAGTATCGTCATCTAAACATTCCCCGTTGGTGTCTTTCTCACATACTTTCTCAGCAACGACTGTCACGGCCAAGATCATCAACACACACAACCAGTACGCACGACCCACATGCATCTTTACTCGCAGAACAAATGCGTTCTCGCGGCCAGGAGAGCGTCTGTCAATACAAGGGAGCGGTTATTGTGTAACATTGCCTAACAGTATCGATCGATATAGCACAATGCCAAAAACGCGTCTAAAGTATCATTTGTTCATGGACTGTGAGAATGTACTGGTTTCTGCTTGCAAGGATTTTTGTCTATAAAATTAATCGAAATAAATTATATAAATTAAGGCGCGGACGTCAGAGAAATACAATTTTAAGCGTCGCGTCTTTAACTCTGGTACTCCAGTGGGCTGCATCTAGTACCAACTCATATACTACCAACATAAACAGATTCTGTAAAGTGATTTCTTAATTTTTTTTAAAACACTTTAAATTCCGAAGAAAATATTTTAAGTTGGAACTGAATTATTTTAATTTTTGACCTCAAGCCTTAACGTTTTGTGCCACTAAAATACGTAAACAAAACAACAAATTTCTTGCTTTATCTGGCTTGCGACTAATTATTAACATTACAATGTGTAAAAACATTTTGGGGAAATGCGGCACAGATTGTTGATTACTCTATGATCCTAAGCACCTTGACACTCACTTTCTCGCTCAAATTAGCTCCGATTTTTTCAGTTTTCACGGTCAACTCACCAAAACATTATAAATTATCTCAATGAAGTCACATAAATTATGTCTCTGTTATGTGTAATAACGCTTAATACCGAAAACAAACATAGGCCGTGATAACCACGTGAATCAAAACATAGCAATGAATGCTCCCCTGTTCTATTTTGACAACCACAATTCAGTTAATGTTGCACGACAGGGTTAGGAGCGACCGAAGCTTTTTGTCTTTACAGACAGGGTGGGCACAGATAGCGCCGTATTGGAAAGTTGCTGCCTTTTACATTTTATCACGTAATCAGAGAGCGAACAAAATCCGACACCCAAGCTATGGAGCTGAGAGCAGGTGCGTTCATTGCGAATCGTGTTCCTACTTGTTTACAGCAGATCGATGTAAGCGTTGCTTATTCAGTAGTTAATATTGATTGTTTTGTCATCGATTAACCCATCCACACGTATCTAGTTCATGATTTAATAAGAGATAAAATCATGTGGGGTTTGATATTTAGATATATTTCAAGGATATTTGCTAATATACACCGTATGCAGTGTCGGAGGATTGGTTAATTATAATGTATATGAGTGGCATGTGATCTATTTCACTGAAACAACAGAATGTCAGTGTCAGCTGTCTGCACGCGGGGCTTCCCGCCAATATCTGCCGACATATGTACCTTGTCAAGTACATTGATTGTACACTTCAGTTAATGCGATAGAAACTGAGGGATCCTTATGTTGTTAAAACGTTTATGTCAGATGAATGTGTGAGTGAGTTGGGTTTTACGCCTTCAACAATATCCCATTATCACGGAATAGACCATAGAAATCTTCACAAATTCTATCCATAAGGGGAATCAAATACGGGCCTTCGGCGTGACGATCGAACGTTTTTACCCCACTGACCTTATTACAAATGACTGACTGACTGAGGTTGGTTTTACGCCGCTTTTAGCAATATTCCAGCAACATTTTCACGGCGGGGACACCAGAAATGGGACGAGGACACACAGACGTTATGCATGCACACACATTGTACCCATGTGGGGATTCGAACCCCCTGATGGTCTTCGGCGTGACGAGCCAACAGCTTGGTTCTAAAACCACTTGGTCTTCAGTAACTTTTCAGTTTGCTTGTCGTAAGAGGCGACTAACGGGATCGGGTGGTCAGGCTCGCTGACCTGGTTGAACATGTCATCGTATCCCAACTGCGTAGATCGATGCTTATGCTATTGATCACGGGATTGTCTGGTCCAGACTCGATTATTTACTGATCGCCGCCGTTTAGTTGGAATATTGCTGAGCGTGGCGTTAAAAAACAAATATCAATCTTTGTTTTTATCAAAATTATATATATTCCGAGTCTAAGCGTTAATCTACAACCTTAATCTGCTGCCCGACAGATTGTGTATGCACTATAGATAATGGCGGTATCTCACCAGAAGATTGTTTCGAAAGTTTTAGTTTTATGGGGAAGTAGTTAGTTTTGTGGGGAAGGGTACACGTGTCCTCAATATCGAGTAGTCTGTTTATAAGAGGACGGGAGGTCAGACAGACGCGGTGTCTGCGTGCCTTCATGCCTGATCTCAAAAACATACGACAGAATACACACTACAGGGCAGAATGTCGACCACAGACGAAAACCAACAAAACACGTTCTTAGGTCACGAAGGGGTGCGAAAAATGAAGTGGATAAAGGAGGGCTTCCCGAACCAGTCTTAATGAACATGGAGGCTTTCTTACCACCATTTCGTGATTGATATTGCTGGAATATTGCTAAAAGCGGACTAAAACCACTGCTCATTCAATCAAGGGCCGTACAGTGTATCTTTGGTTTAAAACATGACCGTATAGAAAGGAAGTGTAAAGCCCATTTCTGGAGTCCCCCGTTGTGATATTGCTGAAATATTGCTAAAAGCGGACTAAAACCATACTCACTCACTCTTTGTACTTAAAAACCGTGACACCCAGGATATAAACTTTGTAGTTTGTTTTACGCCGCATTCAGCATTTTACTAGCTACACGACGGTATTTTAACATCCGGTAGTAAAGGGCTCAATAGGTGCTATGATCTTATGTTCGCATCCCAGATGCACGAAAGTATTATTCTTGTCTTGTCAGCAGAATACCGGTGCTCGTGGATTCCCCAGAGATTAACGTTCTCCCTCGTCAACAAATATAAAAGTACGAATGGATCTGTCTGTAAAATGTTTGTAAATACCTTTTTTCATGACATGTTAGGCTATTTTTTTACTATTTTGTTGTTTTGAATAATAATCAGACGTGGACGAAATTATTAACATATCTGAATTATTAAATGATTGATTTTCAAGATGGCCGATACGACTTCTACTTACGAGGCGAGCTGAGCGCATGTCTAACTCAGGCTGTTACGAGGTTGTCCTGACCCGACCCGCAGATCCCATCCAGCATCTGGCGCACTGCTTACTCAAGTACAGGGTAAACGAACGAACGAAAAAATGAAAGAACGAACGAATGTTTTGTTTGTTGTTTAATGCCGAACTCAGCAATATTCCAGCTATATGGCGTCGGTCTGTAAATAATCGAGTCTGGACCAGACAATCCAGTGTTCAACATCATGAGCATCGATCTACCTCAATTCGGGATACCGAATGAATGAATCTTTGTTTAAAACGTAGGTAAAATTAGCTAAACTTAGTTAAAATACACAGATCTGCGAAAGTAATAGAGAGAAGACTTAAAATGTCTTGCCTGTTGATTTTTCTCATTTGTATTCGGACAGCTCTACTAATAACTTAACTGAAGATATTTTAATTAAAAAAAGAGTGTCTATGCTCCTCAGTTGATATCACGTATATTCTATTTCTCTTCCTTAACATGAACAGTTGTTCACTCTGATAAATGTTAAAAAATGTGATTAAAAAAATTACGTAAGTGTGAAATTGCGAAAGAAGTATCGCTCAATCGAATGTGGTTTTACGTCACGTTTACAAAATTATTCCAGCTGTGTCTTAAAGGGTTGGCACGTGTTCCATTTTCAACTTGGGAATAATGAGCCCAGTTGTGGTGATAGTGTCGGAATATTAGTAAAAGCAGGACACGAGACTAAAGAAATGACAGATTAAACGAGGCGCTCATAGAATATAAAGTTCAACACGTTAGCCTTTCATATCTGCATTTTTATACAACACTTGTAGTTTCACAGGCGGATCCAGAGAGAGAGGGAGAGAGCGAGAGAGAGAGAGAGAGAGAGAGAGAGAGAGAGAGAGAGAGAGAGAGAGAGAGAGAGAGAGAGAGAGAGAGAGAGAGAGAGAGAGAGAGAGAGAGAGAGAGAGAGAGAGAGAGAGAGATCCGGAAGTAATTCTGCAAGGGCTGCTACGTTGAGAATAGTTGCCCTTTAAAGAGTCCCTAAAAGGCTTCCTCAATTCATACCAACAGGCAGACAGACAATCCTCTTTAACGGTAATTTTAGGAGACCAACTCCCATTCACATCCATTCTCGTGCGTTTTATGCAGCATATGCACACATCAAGCGCATTTGCATGCGGACCCGTAAAGATCTGATATTGCGCAACACATGCTTGTAGTAACATGTAATTAAAGGGATCGGGTTGTCAGTCTCGCTGACTTGGCAGGAATACTGTTCAGTGCGGTGTTAAGTAACAAACAAACAAACAAACACGTAAACAGGGAGCAAGTAGCTACTTTCACACGAGGATCACTCTCATGGGTAGCGCAACCAGGAAGTTTTTGAAATATTCAACAAACCTTGCTGACGCTCACGCCATGAATGATCTGCAAATTTCAACTACCGTAAATGTAACGGTAAAGGTATGAGTTCTCGAAAGAGTTAATTGTCTGTTTATATTCTTTTCGTTTGCTGAGTTCGCGATGACGTGACAATAGTGTGCAGCATATCTGAAAGTTTATTAAATGACCATTGAAACTCGGGTGAAAATGAAGTGTGCACCCCCCAACCCCTTTCTAAAGAGGCTGTATCCGCCCCTGAGGTTTAGTCGTCAACAAGTCGTTTAGTCATTAATTTGAGTCAATCGGACATCTACTGAACTGTCATCGCACGATCCGTCATGTTCCGAAGTGTCACCGTACGTACTAAAAAGTATCCGTACGTACTTAAATGTCTCTGTATTATGAAATGTCATTGGAATCTGCAAACATTTATGGAAACACTTGTTTCATTGTTAGTCGTTAAATAAGACGTATACCCCATGATCGGTCATGTAATGACGAGACACAGTACATACTGAAATGTTACGGTACATATTAAAGCGTCTCGTTACGTCCTGAAATGCCTTCGTACGTACTGAAGCGTCGCACTACATACTGAAATGTCTTCGTACGTACTGAAGCGTCTCGTTACGTCCTGAAATGTCTTCGTACGTACTGAAGCGTCTCACTACATTCTGAAATGTCTTCGTACGTACTGAAGCAACACGGTACATACTGTGTTGTCTTCGTACGTACTGAAGCGTCTCGTTACGTCCTGAAATGTCTTCGTACGTACTGAAGCGTCTCGTTACGTCCTGAAATGTCTTCGTACGTACTGAAGCGTCGCACTACATACTGAAATGTCTTCGTATGTACTGAAGCGTCTCATTACGTCCTGAAATGTCTTCGGACCGCCTCCGTGGTGTAGTGGTTAGAGCGTCCGCCCGGAGAGCGGAGGGTCGCGGGTTCGATCCCCGACCACGTCATACCAAAAGACGTTAAAATATGGTACTTGCTGGTCCCTGCCTGGCGCTCGGCATTAATGGGTACAACAAGGACTGGTCGGCTCGGAGTCAGTATAATGTGTCTGAGTGGGGTATCCATGCTTCACTGCGGCATGGTATCTCAGTGGGCTAGCACTATAAAACCAGCTTCAGTCTGGGCTAGTACAAGCAGCCGCACATACACACACACAAGCATGCACGTCGTCATATGAGCGAAATATTCTCAAGCACGACGTTAAATCCAATTTCACCACAGCTGAAATGTCTTCGTACGTACTGAAGCGTCTCATTACGTACTGAAAGGTCTTCGTACGTACTGAAGCGTCACGGTACATACTGTAATGTCTCTGTTAGTACTGAAATGTTACGGCACTTATTGAAACGTCGCGCTACGTACTGAAATGTCTCCGGCTTTAACATTGTGTAATCTTTTTTATAAATGTCCGTTGCAGAGGCTTCACCCGTTAGAGAAGGAACTCAGCCCTCGTGAGCACTTCCGGTCAGTGCTGCCCGGGCCAGAGGAGTTGGGCGAGGCGGAGGAGCCCGATTATTCACCAGCGAACAACGTCTTCGTTCATATGTCGTACATGGCGGTGCTCCACAGCATAGGAGATATATTTGACGATGATGACATCACGTGACGATGTTTTGTTCGGCCTTAGTGTCTACCTGTTCAGTACAATGCCCCTCAGGGAACAGAGCACCAAATGCACTATAGGTAACAATTCTTGAATGCGTCGTCTAAAATAGGGCACAGGGAACAAGGGTTGATTGGTTGTGGCAGCACTCAGCAGTATTCCAGTTATATGACGGCAATCTGTAAACAATCGAGTCTGGAGCAGACAATCCAGTGATCAACATCATGAGCATCGTTCTACGCAATTGGGATACAATGACATGTGTCCACCATGAGCCTGATTATGTCCCGTGTTCCCGTGAGATCTGGGTAACAATAGATCTTCAGTAAGCAATGCTTGTCATAAGAGACGACTAACGCGGATCCGGTGGACGGGCTCGCTGTCTTGGTTGACACATATCATCGTATCCCAACTGCGTAGATCGGTGCTCATGCTGTTGATCACTGGATTGTCTGGTCCAGACTCGATTATGTACAGATTGCCGCCATATAGCTGGAATTGCTGAGTGCTGAGTGCAACTCACTCACTCTGACAAACATACACTACAAGACATCAATATATATTTTCCAAACAACTGTGAATTAGGAACTTTATCAGTTTCAAATGTATGGATGTACTCATAAACACTCATCGCATTCTGTTTGTTCTCACAGCAACAAGTAAACAGTCCCGACACAAAAAGGATGGAGTGACCGGGTTAAATCTACATGAAGCGGATGTAAAATATACTCGTGTGATCTGTCATGATGTGAGACGTTTTGGTGATTGCTTCACGTCCAATGTGTAAACTTCACGTGGTTGTGAATAAAACGTCAAAATAGAGACATTTCCAGCGTCATATTTGTTATTATGTTAGTTATAATTATGGATAAATAAATAAATTGTAAATATACACATAAGCCTGAACAAAGCACACCCACTTTGTGTAGGATAAGTACGAAAATACTTCATGTTGCTTTGAAAACCAAATTCCTCGTATTAAACTGGGAACTAACACGTTTTACTGTTTATTACAAAAAGCAAAACTGAAATTGAAATTTGGTAACAATTTACTTGCAATTTGAGGCGAAGGCGAAATTGGGTTTAACGTCGTGATTGAGAATATTTCGCTCATATGACGACGTGCATGCGTGTGTATGTGTATGTGCGGCTGCTTGTACTAGCCCAGGCTGAAGCTGGTTTTATAGGGCTAGCCCACTGAGTTACCATGCCGCAGTGAAGCAAGAATACCCCACTCAGACACATTGTACTGACTCCGAGCCGACCAGTCCTTGTACCCATAAATGCCGAGCGCAAGGCAGGGACCAACAAGTACCACATTTTAACGTCTTTTGGTATGACGCGGTCGGGGATCGAAGCAGTTTGAGAGGAATACACAATAACGTGAATATCAGCAATACCGGAAAGTATGGTCACCATGATTACGCGAGCAATCTGACTGTCACACACTTCTCAGATAATGACTGTTGTGAGTGTTAGAACCACCACTGGTGACAACATCAGCACCATGTGTAGTCTCCCTTCGCACAGATAACATCTTCCAGTATCCTCATCCTGACAATCAAACGTCGTATTCTCAGCAACGGAATCGTCTCCCACGAGATCCGTGAAGATCTAGGTTAGAATTGGTCTTCAGCAACCCATGCTTGTCGTAAACGGCGACTAACGGATCGGGTTGTCAGACTCGCTAACTTGGTTGACACATGTCATTGTATCCCATTTGTGTAGATCGATGCTCATGATGTTGATCACTGGATTGCTTGTCCAGATTCGTTTATTTACAGACCGCCGCCATATAGCTGGAATATTGCTGAGTGCGGCGTTATAGAACCAACCATCCAAACCCACGTTATCACTGAGACAAAACCAAGGGTTTAGCCTCAACCCTCCTAGTAAAATGCCTTTTTACGACGTCTCCTTACACGACAACAGGCGACGGTAACGTGTAGAAAATGGCGACTTTCTTTAGACCAATGAAAACTTGACCAGTCCTCAAGTTACGGTTTTCTCGGAACCTGCACCACGCCAGACGTTCCACTAGAAATGGGCTTCACACATTGTACCCATGTAGGGAATCGAACCTGGGTCTTCGGCGTGACGAACGAACGCTTTAACCGCTAGGCTACCCCACCGACCCCTGAAAATAGTGAGAGTCTATTTGACTAATGCTTAGTCTCTGAGTACATATATGATTTTCATAGAAACGAATAATTCCTTTTAGAAAAAGACCCAGTGAGAGAGGAGATTCAGAACCCGAACCTGAGAAAGTCTTTAATTGCCGTATTTATTGCTTTAACATTGCAGGAAGGGCTAGGTGGAAGGGGAAATAATGTGGTTCATGGACTGGGAGACAGATTATGAGCCCATGTGTGACCTATCATTACATTTTATTTCTATAATTTGTTTTTGTTTTCTGCAAAATATTTTAATTTCAGAGAATAGATGTGTGTCTATCCGGCACTTCGTATTTTCATTTGTCAATAGTTGTCTGACGAATCACTGAGCTTGTGACGTCATAAATTAATTCCAGGAAATTTTCAGTGTTCATATTCCGTTTGTGAGAAATGAAATTGGCTTTTCCGACAGTATTGAAAAATATACATTATATTTTAAAGAGGTTATGTGTGCTTTGGGGCTCACTAAATATACAATGTTTGTTCCTTATCCAGGATACTCATCACCGAAAAAACGCTCAATTAATGTGACTAACAGCAGCTTCCTTGTTTGAATCAAAGGCGCCGCCGCTTTATATTTGTTTTGTAAACACAACACGCTAGCTATCACTGTAGACATCTATTCTCTGAAATTAAAATTGTTTGCAGAAATACACAACAAATTATACAACTAAAATATTTTAATAGGTCACACGTACAGTCTGTAGCTGGGCTCTTAATCTGTCTCACCTGAACCCCATTATTTTCCCTTCCGCACAGCCCTTCCTGCAATAAATGAAGCAATTCTTGACATATCAGGTTCAGGTTCTGAATTTCACTGGGGCTCCTGTACAAGCCAACTTGGTGAATTATTCGTTTCAATTAGAGTTATATGTATAAATTCAGAGTGAGTGAGTGAATTTAGTTTACGCCGTTTCTAGCAATATAACAGCAATGTCATGGCGAGGGACACCAGTAATGGGTTCACACATTGAACCCATGTGGGGAATCGAACCCGGGTCTTTGGCGTGACGAGCGAACGCTTTAACCACTAGGCTGCCCCACCGCCCCTATATAGTCAGAGACTAAGCATTAGTCTAACAGACTCTCACTATTTTCAGGGTGCGGGGAGGTAGCGTTGTGGTTAAAGCGTTCACTCGTCAAGCAGGGTTCGAAATTAACGTTGTTCCCTTGACCCGAAGCCGACTGAAAAACACGCGGAACCACAGCTTTGGTTTTCTGCAGATCCTTAAGGCTAACAGATTTTTATTCCCCAATAACTAAGAGTATATTTTCCATATCAACTTATAGGGTCTACACATTCTGATCAGGACCCACAACGTTTTATGGTTCTGGGTCCTTAGGGCCTGCAGCTTTTCAGGGTTAAGGGCAAATTCTGTCGTCAAGCCAAAGACCTCGGTTAATTTCGAATATTTCTCACTCACTCACTTCTGTAGCCTGGCAGTTGATCATCAGTTACGATGACATGTAACCAAGGGCAACACTGCTGCTTCAACGTTTAAATCCTGAATTTAAATATTCAGATGTGATGGAATAGGTATGGCTGTAAGCAAATATCGCTCCGTCTATCCCGACAAGGGTGACACAGTCTCCGTACTGGCTGACACTGCTGAGGGATGACAGAAATCTCATCTCAAACACGGGGTAACCTCCAGGGTTGGAGAGGACATGCCCCTAGTGGCCGTGGAGAGTCTGGGTGGCAGGAAAGACATTCTGTAGTCTTAACCTATACAGCACAAATATCAGTAGGTTAAACGTTGCTACTAAACTGGCGTTCAAAAGAAAGTACACACCTTGTGCTTTCGGATAATATCGGTGGTGGTTTGGCAGCATGAACACACCATTCGTAACTTGTAAGGCATAAGTTTCTTAGAAAATATTACCCCCGAAACCAGGTGGGTACTCTTTTCTGTACGTCAGTTTATGTAGTAGTGAATTTAGTTTTGCAGTTTTCTTGGGGCCCAGAAATGGGCTTCACACATTGTACCCATGTGGGGAATCAAACCCGAGACTTCGGCGTGACGAGCGAACGCTTTCACCACTAATCTAACCCACCGCCCTAACTTGATGTAGTAGGTAACTTAGTGTGTACATGATTGAAAAAATATTGTTTTACGCCTTTAGCAATTCTGCAGCAATATAACGACAGGGTGAACAAGAAACAGGCTTCAAACTCGGTACCTGTGTGAGAAAATCTACTACGCTTTTCTACCCCACCAAGCTGGTATGCAGTCATTTACTGATACAGGATTTTGGTGAATGAGTGATTATGCTTTTACACCGGTTATAGCAATATTCTCAGCAATATCGTGGCGGGGGACACCAGAAATGGACTTCACACATTGTACGTAGGTGGGGAATCTACCTTCGACGTAACAAGCAAACGCTTTTACCACTAGGCCAATATGTATTGGTTAAAGCACGAGGTTGGAATTGTTAGTTAGAGCACGATGAGCGAAGGGACAAGAGTTATGATCAGTCTAATACGGCTACAGCTGTACGATTGGGACAAACTTATTACCAGCTGGATGCTGTAACTTTTGACCAACATCAAAAGATAAACACATACACTAATCCTTACAAATATACAACAAGCAACATTTCAACATTCCACACGACTATTAAAAAATTCCATAACAAAACAGAGAACGACCCGAGAGTGGACTACTGCAAGGTCGGTATATGGGAGCACCTTTCTTACACATCGCATACCGCCACATTCCACAGCATAGTCTGCTGATAGGGGCAGCGATGAGTGTGGTATTCGGCCAGGTCACTGCTGCTTTCACTTACTGGACAAAGTAACACCTGTCTGTAAAGAAGACTCACACCTGTGCGTTAGGTTCGACAGGTAAGTCGCGCTAACGTCACAAGAGCCGTGTCATCCTCAAATATCTTATACATAGATTGACACAGATGAATCGGCAAGAGTTGGGATGCTTTAAGGTCGCCTCAGGGTTTAATGATTGGCTTAGGTGTCTAAACATGGTGTTTTTAATGTAGATTGTTTACCGACATCAACTGGACTGACTTGACCTTGGTCAGTCGGGTCAGTGTGATGCCTATTTAATGTGTTTCCAGACTCGCGAGTTGGTTTGTTTTAAAGTTGCTTTGAACATTATTTCAATTAAACCACACCGTTTCGCCTTGATGTTAGAGAACAGACCGAAGTAAAGCGGGTCCTATGTGAAACCAACGAGTGCTCTTATGTAGCATCGGTGGTGGGTAGCCTATTGGTTAAAACGTTCGCTCGTCACGCTGAAGAACCGGGTACAGTGGGTACAATGTGTGAAGCCCATTTCTGGAGTCCCCCGCCGTGATATTGCGGCGTGAAACTGAACTCACTGTTGAGAGACACAATGCCCACCTCTCCCTGCTCCCGATGCTTCATTGTGAGAGAGGGGCGGTGGGGTAACCTAGTGGTTAAAGCGTTCGCTCGTCACGCCGAAGACCCGGGTTCGATTCCCCACTTTGGCACAGTGTGTGAAGCCCATTTCTGGTGTCCCCCGTCGTGATATTGCTGGAATATTGCTAAAAGCGGCGTAAAACCATACTCACTCAAAACTAGAAACATAACCCGTGGTAACCCTATATTCAATCTAACGATAATAGAGTTCTGGTGTGCCTAAGGGAAGCAACTCTCAACAG